AGGCTGCTGCATGAGGTTCTTTCCTATTTCTGGTTGTTTTTGGGACCTGTTGGCTTGTTGTCCTCCCCTCATGTTCTAGGTGGGACATCCCTGTTAGTAAGGAATGTAAAAGATGTTCTGTGTCCTGTGATGTGCGACAAAGAAAATGACATTTTGTGGTTTACCTGTAAAATCCATTTCTTGGAGTCCCTCAGGAATCCCAGAGATCCGTCCCCTCCTGTTATGGGCTATGGCTTGCTACAAACCTTTCCTATGTCGGAGATCTGCTCTACAAGGGGACGTCCTGTCTATTGTTTGCCAATGTCCGATCACCTGTAGGTGGGCATAACAGTGTTAGGAAGGATTTATAAAGATGCTTCGTGTCCTGTGATGTATTCCAAGAAATGGATTTTACAGATCATTGATGCCATTTGTTACTAAGAGACAGGAATTGTTCATTGCTGAAGGAGCCCCTAGAAACCTTTGGAGGACCCCTGGCTGAGAAAGGCTGGACTAGGCAGTCATATATTTCTGTCCCCCTTGGTGGGAGTGGAGGTGACCCCTCTATAAGGATCTACAGTCCATACACACCCAGCACAAGGCCGGGGGTCACACTACCAGACGCTTCTCGGGGCTGCAGTTCCTCTGAGCTCCACAAGGTGGGGATCTCACTTCTACCCAGACAGGAAGTCTCTATGGAAGACAGACAGGAAGTGATGTCAGGTACATAGAGGAAGTGATGTCAGGTACATAGAGGAAGTGATGTCAGGTACAGACAGGAACCATATCGGAGATGTTGCTGGAAGATGCAGCAGAGCAGGTAGGAAGATGTTATTTTTACCCCAATATTTACACCCCTCCAATAACCCCCTGTCATGCCTGTCCTCTTCCTCTTCCTCCATAGTCATGTCTGTCCTCTTCCTCCATAGTCACTGTGACGTCTTTTATCTCCAGCAGATGATGATACACACACATTATAGTGTGGGAACCCAGATTAACCCCTTCAGGGGCAGAACCCCCCACTTCCGGGGCCGGAACATTCTCCTCATTGTGGAGAGGTGTCACCTTCTCACCTCATCAGTCTATACTAATGGATTTTATGACTTTAATTAGTGGCGGGGGATGGGGGGATATTTAGGGGGATTGGAATATCTATGTCTTTGTTTTATAAGATTCAAATAGGAAGAAAGAGAGAGAAAAATGTCATTTGTAGTAAATGTCCTGAACACAATGGACACGTCCTCCACTCACTCTGATGGGAATACATTAGACCTTGTTTTCTCCCATCTTTGCACTCCCTACAACCTCACAAACACCCCCTTTCCTCTCTCTGATCACAATCTCATCACCTTCACAGTCTCCTCGTCTTCAAACACTATCCCTCCAAGCAGCCAAACAATTACCCGCAGAAACCTTCACAACTTGAACCCGGCTCCTTTCCACTCTGCAACTGACCAACTCTCTATGACAGAATCTCTCCCCTGTCCTGCCCTGACCTGGCCACTGCTGTCTACAACAGTTCACTGTCATCCACACTGGACTCACTTGCTCCTCTAACAACACGAAGCATCAGGCCCCGACCATTACATCCGTGGCAGACTGACCACACCAGAAATCTTAAATTACATAGTTGTGCGCTGGAGCGATTGTGGTGTAAAACCAAATCCCACAAGCATTCACCCGATATAAATCTGCTTTCTTCACATACAATTCCTCCCTCCATGCTGCCAAACAAGACGACTTTGTCACTCTTATTAATAGCTTGTCATCCAGTCCTTGTTGTCTCTCTCTACCACTTTTAACTCTCTACTTTCTCCACCTCCACCCAGTACCAGAACCTCAACCTCCACCCAGCACCTCATTCACTGCTTATGAGATTACAAATCATTTCAAAAACAAGATTGATGCAATTTGTAGGGGCCTCTCCACTGCACAGACATCCATCCCACTTAGCATACCTTATACTAAACCTCCCTCAACACTTTCCTCTTCTGACCTCGCTACTACTGAAGAGGTCACTAAGGTTTTCTCAGAAGCCCGTCTCACCACCTGCCCCCTGGATCCTGTCCCCTCACAACTACTACGGTCACCCTCTTCTTCCATCCTATGCTCCCTCACTCACATCTTCAATCTTTCCCTCTCTACTGGTGCCTTCCCCTCCCCTCTAAAGCATGCGCACATCACTCCCATACTTAACAAGCCCTCCCTGGACCCCTTCAACCTGAACAACTTAAGACCCATCTCCCTGCTGCCATTTACCTCTAAACTCCTAGAACGCTTAGTCTACAATCACCCTGAGCTCCCACCTCACCGACAACAACCTTCTTCACCCTTTACAGTCTGGCTTTCACTCGCTACACTCCATTGAAACTGCCCTACTAAACCTCACTAATGATCTACTAAACTGCTAAAACCAATGGCCACTACTACTCCATACTCATCCCAACCAATGGTCACTACTCCATACTCATCCCAACCAATGGCCACTACTCCATACTCATCCCAACCAATGGCTCCTACTCCATACTCATCCCAACCAATGGCCACTACTCCATACTCATCCCAACCAATGGCCACTACTCCGTACTCATCCAACCCAATGGCCACTACTCCATACTCATCCCAACCAATGGCCACTACTCCCCATGGCCACTACTCATCCCAACCAATGGCCACTACTCCATACTCATCCCAACCAATGGCCACTACTCCCAACCAATACTCATCCATACTCATCCCAACCAATGGCCACTACTCCATACTCATCCCAACCAATGGCCACTACTCCATACTAATCCCAACCAATGGCCACTACTCCATACTCATCCCAACCAATGGCCACTACTCCATACTCATCCCAACCAATGGCCACTACTCCGTACTCATCCCAACCAATGGTCCACTACTCTGTACTCATCCCAACCAATGGCCACTACTCTGTACTCATCCCAACCAATGGCCACTACTCCGTACTCATCATCCCAACCAATGGCCACTACTCTGTACTCATCCCAACCAATGGCCACACTACTCCAACTCATCCCAACCGATGGCCACTACTCCGTACTCATCCCAACCGATGGCCACTACTCCGTACTCATCCCAACCAATGGCCACTACTCCATACTCATCCTAACCAATGGCCACTACTCTGTACTGTTACTGCTTGACGTCTCTGTGGCTTTTGATACTGTTGACCATCCCCTCCTCCTCAAAAAACTCCACTCTCTTGGCCTCAGAGACTCCACTTTCTCCTGGTTCTCCTCCTATCTATCACAGCGCTTCTTCAGCATTACCTATAACTCTGGCTGCTCCTCTATACTCCCTCTTTCTGTAAGGATCCCTCAAGGTTCTGTCCTTGGACCCCTTCTCTTTTCCATCTACACCTCCTCATTTGGTCACTTAATAAACTCCCATTATCTCTATGCTAATGACAAACAAATCTATCTTTCTATCCCTCACCTCACCCCTTCAGTCTCCTCTCACATTACTAACCTACTGAGTGACATATTGGCATTGATGTCTGTCAGGAATGGACTCGCCAATGGTGGTGGGACTCACCTGCCTTGTGGGCTGCAGTACCAAGGCTGGCCAGCGGATGCTCTCAGCAGCCAGAGTCTCACTCCTGCAATCAAGCCATCACCTGAGGCTGATTGCAGGAGGTGTATTTAAGCAATGGTCAGGCCTGCAGTCGGTTCCTTGGTGTTGTTTCCCATGAGCCCCTGTACCTGTTGGCCTGCATATCTGCCTATCCGATCTGCTGACTTCTCCTGCCCTTATCCCTGGCCTGTCTGACTTCTTTTGGATACCCCCATTGGATCTGATCTCCTGTTACTGACCCGGCGAGTGACCCAACTATTCTGTGCCTGCTGCCTTGTACCACGCTGTCCCCACCGTTACCGACCCGGCCTGTCTGACCACGCTTTTGCTCAGCCATCCATCCATACATCCTGCACGTACTCATCCGCCTCTTCACGTCAGGCTCTTCTCCAGAATATACCTCTGGCAGATCCCTCTACCATGGGTGGGTGTACTCATGGGCTGCGACCTGGTCTCTGTCTGCTCAAAGTCCAACCCCACCATCAGGGGGATTGGTGAACAAACAGACTGGGACTTAGACTCCATGCTCTGGGGAATCCTATTCCGTTGTTTCTTGAGGTACCGCCAGGTGGTGCATTACAGGACCATATGGCCTGCCTGACCATTCCACCTCTCCAGCCCTGACTACGCCTGTATTACCACACATTTCTGGTCATACCCAGATCCCTGACAATGTCACTCCACTTCCTCAAACTCAATCTTTCCAAAACTGAGCTCTTAGTATTCCCCCCCAGTCTTTGCCCCCTCCCCTGATTTTTCCATCAAGATCAATAACACAATCATCAGTCCCTCCCCTCATGCCAGGGTACTAGGTGTAATCCTAGACTCCCATCTGTCCTTTCAGCCCCAAATCCAATCACTGTCCAAATCTTGTAGACTTCACCTCTGCAACATCTCCAAGATACGCCCGTTCTTAACCTCGGAAACCACTAAGCAACTTATTCACTCCCTTGTTATATCTCGCCTTGACTATTGTAACTCCCTCCTCATTGGCCGACCTCATCGCAGGCTATCCCCTCTTCAGTCTATCATGAATGCTGCTGTCAAACTTATCCACCTTCTGACTAACCGTTCCATATCCACCACCCCTCTCTGCCAATCCCTCCACTGGCCTCCATTCAGTGTCCTCCACCCCTCTCCACTGCCTCTCAATCCCTCCACTAGCCTCCATTCAATGTCTTCCACCCCTCTCTGCCAATCCCTCCACTGGCTTCCCATTGCCGAATGGATACAATTCAAAACATTAACATTAACATATAAAGCCATTTATAACTCCGCCCCAAATTACATCACCAATCTTGTCTCTAAATATCACCCAAACCGTACTCTCTGCTCCTCCCATGACATTCTGCTCTCTAGCTCCCTTGTCTCCTCCTCCCATGCTCACCTCTAGGACTTCTTCAGCACTTCCCCCATCCTCTGGAACTCTCTAACCCAATTTATCAGACTATCGCCTACTCTGCTCACTTTTAGGCGATCTCTGAAAACCTCTCTTCAGGGAAGCCTATCCTGCCCTCAGCTAATAATGGAATCTTCTGTTCTTCCAACCACTCCATCCCCCACAGTTACAACCATTTGTACCACTAG